GCTTTTCCATCACTTTAATTAGCCTTGACAGAGATGTGGATTATAGTTCTTTCATTTTTTTAGTTGATTTATGCATTCACTCACTCAGTGATTGTTTAATGAGAATTAATTCTAAAGAAGATTTTTCTGTAGCAGGAACAGTGTAGACAGCAGAGAAGATACGGAGACCATTCCCCATGATGCTCAGAGTCTGCATTTAGAAAGAAAAGAAATTTAAAAACAGCGCATGTACATAACTGTATTAATTTAACACAGGAAAGTTGTTAATTTTGATACTTGGAGTTGGTAATAAACAAGACAACTATAGACAAGTTTCTTTCAAAGTGGAAAGTTGTAAATTGGTAGTCAACTTTAAATATTAGAAACAAACTGGACACACATGGCTATGACTAAGCCACATAAGCCTGACGTGGGTGGGGGGTGGGGTTAACAATTTCTAAGAACCATGCCCCTGAAAGACGGAAGAGCAACCCTTAGCAGCATTTCCACCCTGATTCAGTTTCCGCCTGCTTAAATTCTGCAACTTGACTCCTATGCTGATAGACAGGAATATATGGTCTAATTTGCTTTGAAATACGTAAGACAAGACTGTAGATGGCGCTATCACTTTGACTATTTGCTGTGTGGTGTTTTGCTAAACATTTAACATTTTGAGTTATTCCCACCAGCCTGGCTTAGATCACACACACCATAGGGGAGTTATTATAATTCATCAGTTTTCCCCCTCTTTTCGTACAAGGATCTCGATAGACATCTTCACAAAAAGAAGCCAGCTCAGAAATAGAAACAGGTTTAAAGTCACTCAATCGCTCAGCAGCAGGCACCGGAGAAAGGACACCACCACCTGCTGTGTCTCTGGATCCTGAATTTAGAAGCTGCACTGGTGATTTATTTACACTGTGATCCGATGCCTGCCTCTCTGTAAGAACACCAGGTGAATTGTTGCCAATGTGTTAAGCTCAGTTACTTTGTTCTAAATAAAACAAACGGTGTCTAAAATCCCCACATACAGAACAAAAGTCACCCGAGGTGCTGTTGTTGGCAACTAGGGCTGTCTTGAGACCTTCCACAGGGCTATCGACACTACAGCCTGTTTACACTCTTTCTGTTAAGTATGATTGTGAAATTAAGAGCACAAGAAGTAAAAGTCAATACATCTGACTGGTCAACGGGTGGCTAGCAATGTATTAAAAGTGAATGCAATGGAAAAAATTAAGAGCCACCAGGAGAGGAATGAAGGACAAAGCATAGTCACCCACGGCACACAAATAAGTACCTAAGAAAAACACACCCCACACAGATACCCAAACATCACATCATACTTGGTAAATGTACCAGTTATGATTTTCAATTAAATGCAAGGCAAAATCTTAAGTTAAATGAATTACATATATATTCCCACTTTATAAAACAGCAAATGAATGAATGAATGAATGAATGAATGAATGAATGAATGAAATGTTCCCTACTTGAAAATAGCATTCAGTATTCTTTCTTCAGTTCCTCCTATCTTCCCAGAGCAACTTAGAGACAATCGTATTATAATATGGGACTAGAGGTTGAACTTGCTGATAGTTCAGTGTGAATACGTCCACAAGAAGAGTGGTTGTTTCTCTGTCTGGCTCCAGGCACTGTGCTGGACGTTGAACTCAGATTATCTGGAAAGAGCTATGCTCTCCGTCTTCAGGGTTATAGACTGAATCACTCAATGGCATTGAATATAGCACAGAAGATTATATACGTTATTGCTTTTGAAATATCATCATTTATCTTTATAATGGGAATAGATAGATAATTTCTTTAAGACAGTGTCTCATGTAGCTCAGGAGAAATTGCAGTCATCTTACTTCAGCATCTCTTGTGCTGCGGTTACAGCATGCCCAGTTTCTTAACCAGAGATAAGTAGAAAGGAGAACAAATGAGAATAAAGCATAATGTCATATATGGATTAAAATGTCCCTAGAAAGCCCATTGGTTTGTATGGTAGCCTAAAAACAATAAAAAGAATTGTCGACTGAAGAATGAGAATTCTTATTGGTTGTTTAAAGTATCTTTCCTCTGATATTTATAGACACATAAATGTACAAATATGTTTATAGGTTGAATCAAGCTGTATTCTTTGAAACACCCATGTCAAGTAAACAGATTAATTTCTTAGGAAATGTCAGTACGGTGTATATACATAAGATTCCTAACTCTTAGCAGCAGTTTTCATTTTGTTGTTTGATACTTTTATATATTTATGTGATGAAATTTAGTTATTGTCATGCCCTATACTCCTCTCTTGCCCACTACCCTCTCCCACAGGAAGCTATGATGTCAACAACACCCTCAAACATTCATGTCTCTACCTCACGGGTAACCCACAGAGTTTAATTAGTGACGACTGAGGGGAACTTGGCAGGGACTACTGGCTTGCATTCTCTTGTCTGTGTCTTCTTGTGAAATATGAATGTTCTTTTCCTCTAGACACTGAAAGAGGATCTCTCCCTCCTTCTCCCCCTCATGTGAAGATCTCATGGCCTGTGCCAGGGTCATCTTCCTCTTTGTGTCATTTCCTCAGATACCTTGTTTGGTGGTAGAATTCCTACATCTCACCGTGTTGCTTTGCAAATATTGTAATTATTGAATTGAATGGCTAGTGGATATTGAGAATAGATAAACATGACCCCCCTATGGCGCATCCAGGAATGGTCAGGAAGACTTGTATGGCAGACTATGTGAGATGAAGACTCTCACTCACTGCTGAGTGCTCTATCGTCTCCATTCATATTAGACTTGGAGAAGTACATATTCATTTTCAGATAACAGATCCCCCTACCTTCACCAGTATACATAGCAGGCCCATCATAACTTTCAAGTAACTGAAGGCTTTGTTCCTAAGGACTGATGGATCCAAAAGCCTGAGGTACCTACACAAGTATGCTGGTAGTGCTACCAGCTTCTTAAATCAGAGCTGAGTTTGTGATCTCATGATCAGGATAACATGATGTGTTTTTGAGATCCCTACTCAAAAAACAAAACAAAATCTATCTTGGCAGCAGGCAGTAGGTAAATCCACTCTTACAGTAGATGTTTGGAATTTGCAATATAGTATCTTCTCTCTACCCTTGGCATTAAGAAGTCCACTAACCTGAACAGTCTCATCAAGGACAAACATTCAGGGGATCATCCTTGCGCTCCCTCACAGTCTCTGAGAGTTGGAGGTGAATGCATTGCTTCAAGGTGTACCACTGCCTTGAGTCATAAAGATGAGGCATTTATTAGTTTACCAAATGTCAATTGACAAGTCCTGATGAAGACTCACTCACTCCAGCTATCCCTTTACTGTTTCGGCTTCTTTATATTAGCATACTCCAGCCTTGAGAAAGTTTTCAAATTTTGTTTTGTGGACTCTGACTTCAGTTCATATTTAACTTTCTTCTCCAATGCAATGGTATCCTTAAACTAAGTCTGCCTTCATTTCTTTGATGTCCTTCCTTGTTGAGCTACAGCAGTAATCAAGTGATGGTTGCTTTCCAGCTTTACTGATTTGATCACTTTTTGTTAACCTGTGAATTGCAAGAGAGAGAGAGAGAGAAAGAATCGGAATTTAGCCTCATGTCCTCATGTTTCAGGCTACTGTATGCATCATAAAAGTCCAGAAGAATGAAGCCAGTGCATCAGTAAACAATTCCAAGTGTTGAAGTAATTATTTAAAATGGTGTCACCTAATTGGTCTTGTGTTACAGAGCCGCCATGTTCCCAACTAGGCTAGGCCTGAGGTCACGAGCAGTGGTATGTTCTTGCTGCTGCTGCGAGCCGCCACTGGCTCAGGGGGGACAGAACACTGGCCCTGGCACCCACAAGATGCCAGCATGGGAGATGGTTCTGCCAATCTTCCATGCTGTCTCCACAAGGCTGGGCTGAGCACAGATCATCCCGCCATCCATGCAGGCCCAGTAGAAATGAGACTCTAATGCTTAGATTATCCAAAGGCTGTATATATTTGGTAATGCTCAATAACAAGATGCCCACACAATTAGAGGTGTAACCCAATACCCAATCTAGATATATCAACTACCTTTACCTACTGCTAGAGACACACCAACATCTGCTGCCATGTTCCCCTCTCTCTGGTCCTCTCTCCCCTAGCTACTCCTCTTCCTTCTTTTCCTCTCCTTACTCTTCTCCTTCCTCTCCTTACTCCTCCTACCTTAGTTCCTCCCAACTTGCAGGGAAAATATGCCGCTATCCAAGTCTTAAGAACTTAGTAGACTTTGTTCTAGTCCCTTGTTCTAGTTTTGAAATTCCTATCTTCTGAGAATCCACATCTTGTTCTCCTAATTTGAAAACAGTAATGCTAATACATGCTAAAGTGTAATTCTTAGAAGGGGAGACAGAATGAGAAAGCATGCGTGTTGTGTAGTACCTAAGACAGTGCCATTACCAATAAATGTTTGTTCCTATAAATTTCTAGTCCAAGCTAAGCCTCAAAGAGAATCATGTGTTTTATATTACTGGAGTAATGTACTTTGGATACGCATCTGTGGTTTCCTCAGTTACATAATAAGTTTCTTTGTGGATAACCTTCCTGCAAATGTTGTCATTTATATAATGTATTTGATACATATGTATGATATGGACACATGAAAGAATGTGCACATGCAAGCAAGTTCTAACAAACCAATCTTGAACTGAAGCTACTCAAACTGCTTAACAGTTTACATAGTCCACACCAATTAATCATGTTAATGTCAGAGCCATCAACCAATGGCTTTTAAGATTGTAATCTATGTATCAGACATAGAGTTGATCTAAAACAACAGTCATATGCCGTACAGCATTTTAGGATTTTTCAGAATTTACAGCCTCAGAAACAGGATCTAGAGGCAAATGGGGAAATTACTCCAATGTGCTTTTCATTTCCTGCTTTTGGCACTGGCTAGACTACTTATGCTGAGCTCCATGAACCTCAGTAAAGGGCTGTTTCAGGGTTTGGTTTGGAGATCCTCGTCCTGTCAGTTACTTTACTTGGAAAGAACATTCGAGTGCTCTGCCTACCTAGGGCCCTGTGAAGAAATGGAATATCATTCTCATATACAGAATCTGGATGAAGATGGATATACTCAATTAGACTTCAGCAATCGAGACATCCACAAAAGGCCTGTAAGATCAGAGAAAGGTATCCATTTTCTTTCTGCTAACAGCACCTTCATTCCCATTAACCGAAATAACAGAAGTAGAGACCTGAAGAGACTCTTGGTTTGTAGGACTTCCTATAAAAATATTTTTCATATATAGCTATATATATATATATATATATATATATATATATATATATGTGTGTGTGTGTGTGTGTGTGTGTGTATGTATGTATATGTATGATATATATGGCATATATATTTGATATATACATATATATTTGTTATATATATACACACATATGTATATATATTTGGTATATATATTTGGTACATATAGTTGGTATATAAATTTGGTATATATATTTGGTATATATATATTTGGTTTCTATATATGGCATGTATATAGTTTTAAAGGCATCACATATCCTATGAATGCTCACTAACCCTCCTTCCCAGAAAAGTATGCAACGACTTCCACAAATCAAAAATTGCTTTTGGTTTGTGGCATAAAACAGGACTACTCCACTGTACAGTCACTGGCACTTCTTCAGTGTGAGGTGGCACTGGTGACATGAGTAAAAGAGAAAGAGGAAAGAATTTTAGTGGGGTCGCTTTTTGCTTGTCTTTTAGTAACTTGTGAGGGGGCCAGGAAACAGATAAACGAACAACCTGTAAAATCATACAACATAGGATGCTAAAGTACTGGAGGATGAAACAATAGAGGGTTGTATGCCAAATGAAAATGAGAAGCCAGGAGTCATGGGGTTTAAAATCACAAATTTGATATACTTTTTTGGATTTTATCAAACGAGATGTTAGTATATCAGTGATGAGAAACACATGCTAGATTAAAATGTCTCATTATCAGGAGATAGATATTAAAATGGAAACAAGATGAGAATAAAGGACATTAAAGTCCTAACACAGTGTGAGTGTTTTGTCTCTTTCTGGGTCACCTGTTGGGCAGCTCTATGACTTGGGGTTTCTGCTGTTGGTGTCATAAGCTTAAAACAAAATCAGTTCACTGTTAGCTTAAAGGAAGAGATGACTCATGGGTTCTAACATCAGTTTGCTTTCTTCCGCTTTTTAGTGTTCACATTGTGCAATTATTTTCCTCTTATAACCATTTACACAATTCCTTTCTTGTGAAATTTGCTTGGAAAATAGTATAAAAATTGATTGAGAGAAGGGGCAAGGTTGATATGCCCCTTATGCCGGGTAAAATAAAGTGCTCACTCTCAGCAACAGTATTTGAAGGTACTACTGATCCAATTCCAAAACTGGAAAAGAAAAAGAAAAAGAAAAAGAAGGGCATATAGGAAATAACTTGTTTAAATCATGCACCATATAAATGACAGGAAAAAGCTATCCATAGTAATTGGTGCTGTTTCTCCTACAGAAAACTGTTTGCTCTATGACCAAGTAAGACTTCAGGGAATGAATAATGTCCAGACCTATAGACTAGCCTGTGAGCCTACAACTGAGGAGTTACTGATGGTATGGCAATGATACCGCAGCTGAAGCAACGGAGGAAGAGGCATCCAGAAGCTGGAGGACAATGGAGACTCACGCTACAGTACTAGATCCTCAAGTCGCTAGGCTAGAGCCTAGTGGCTTCTGATCCCTCTAGAACCATCCCCGTTTCAGTGAGCTGAGCTGTTAAAGAGTTCCATAATCTTCCCTCATTTTCTTTCTCATCTCTCTGACTTTCCAGGAAGCCAGGCTCCATCTTCTCCTTGGCGGCCCATTGCGGTGGTTTTAGGAATCCTGTGCTTGGTGGCAGTAGTGATTGCTGCAGTGCTGGGTGCCCTAGGTGAGTATGGGTGAGGGAGGTTGGTGCAGTAGCAGACAGTGATTGTGCGATTAATTTATGCCAGGCACTCTCTCAAGGGCTTGACATGCATAACCTCATTTAATCTGTACATTAATCCCACTGAGTCTGTGCTATTAATTTCTGTTTCAGTAATAGGAGAATTGAGAGACTGGAAGATTAACTCTTCCATAGTTATAAGCTAGTTAGTGGTGGGAATTATAAGAAATGCAAAAATCTTTTTAATAAAACATATATTCCTGAGTATACTGCTCTACTATTCTATACATAGGTGGTTTTTAAAGTAGAATTTAAAGTATAAGTTAGTGGAGAGAAACTTGCAGGGCCGAAAGATGCACAATCTTTCTTAGAGATGGTTATATAAAATGAGTTATGTGTAATTTTTTTTGAAAGCCTCATGATACATGGAAATTATCTTACACATGACCTTTAATAAAAAATATCTTGACTCTGTCAAGTATTGCCTGAGGCATTGAAAACTTACTAAGCAGATGTTTTGTGAAGACTGAATAGATCTCTTTAGGTTTCTATATTTTGTGAACCCTGTGTCAATAAAGTTGTATATCTTCAAAGAGTCTCCATCACTCATAATCAGTCAAATGCTTACAGAGTACAGAAACATTCTATGTATTACATGCTGGGTAATTCTCCAAGAGCCAGCTAGCATTTTTAAGGGATAAAAGAAAGCAAAATGTATGATTTCATTAAATTATTAGCATTTAAAATTCTTTACAATTGCAGTTAGATCTATGTCATTTTCTTTTTGCTACTTTCTTCATAGTCCTTCTCATATACTTGATATACAATCTATGTGTGAGCCATCTGACTCCGTCTTTTTATCAGCAATGTACCATTTATTTATCATCAATCATAGGAATCCCCTATGTGCTTCCATAAAATATGAGTGCTGGAATTTCAGTTTTCAAACACAGCGGAATGACTTTCTTTTTCTGTCACTATTGCTGTTCGTGATATATGAAGCATTTTCGAGAGTCAATTCAGGGAGAAATCCAGAAGAGAAAGACAACTTCCCATCAAGAAATAAAGAGAACCACAAACCCACAGAATCATCTTTAGATGAGAAGGTGGCTCCCTCCAAGGCATCCCAAACTACAGGCAAGGGCAGAACTAAAGGAGCAATGGGATCCTGGATTCCAGAGGTTCATTTCCTGGTGCTGAGGCCTGGGGTGGGGAATATGTTTATATCCAATAACAGCACATTCAAGGCAAGCAGACCAAACAGAATTTCCTTAGCATAGCATAATCTGTCAGACAGCTGATAAAATGATACACAAATCCACCGCTTGTTCACTTACTAAAAGAAGTAACTGCACTTATCTCTCTGGCTGTGTGCCAAGACCTACCGGATATGATATAATTTGATGTAGTGTTCAGTGCTCTTACAGAACTGATATTTTTACAGTGATGTTGTTACAATAAGATAGATGTTAGGCAAAAGTAATGAAGTGGGGGAGTGGGGAAGGGACACTGAAGATTGTAAATGCTAATAAGAATACATTGAAGAAATGGACCTAATACATAAATCACTGAAAACCCTGGGTAAACTCATTCAATCATGGCATTTAATTGATTTCATAACATTTTTTTTTTTACTATATCCAGCCTGTGTTTCTGATTGCATCACAATTGACTGACTGTTTTCCCTTCAGCATTCCATCTCTGGATTTACCTCCCCGTTGTCTTCAGTTAACGAAACTCAAAAGAGCCTTTGAAATATAAATAATCACCTTTATGCCTCTTCATAGGACAGATTAAGTCAAGTAGAACTCCTGCTTGTAGTGATTGATTTTGAGTGTATTTGTTTTACAAAGATTCAATAAAGAAAGGGAATCTAGGCCTAAATTTGAAGTAATGGATTAGATAAATCTGGTTGTCTATTTAAAACACTATAATTACTCAACTGATTTTAAATTTTAAAATTTTTGTGTGTTTTGCTTGCATGTATGTCTGTGTACCACTTGCATGCCAGGTACTCTCAGAGGCTAGAAGAGGGTATCAATCCCCTGAAACTGAAGTTATTAATGTTTGTGAAGTGTCATGCGGGTGCTAGGAATCAAAGCTATGTTCTCTGGAAGAGCAATCACTGCTCTGAAACACTGAACTACCTCTTTAGTCCTTTTACTTTAAATTTTTTTTAATGAGCAAAGGGATTTTAATATATTCTGTAAAGTTATCATCTAATTTGTGTCAAAAATTAAAGATATGTTAAAGAAATATATTAATGAAAATTTGTCATTAGATATTTGTGAAAATAAGAGAATTATTGTTATACTGTGAATTTCACAATATTAATTTTCTTTCCAGGAGTTTTTTCTGGGCCTTGCCTTCCTAATTGGATCATGCATGCGAAGAGCTGTTATCTATTTAGCTTCTCAGGAAATTCCTGGTATGGAAGTAAGAGACATTGCTCCCAGCTGGGTGCTCATCTACTGAAGATAGACAACTCAAAAGAATTTGTAAGCACACACTTCTATGATTACCTGTGGTCTATAGTCATCAGGGCAAGAGAGATTCCTGCACTAACAATGTTAATATCATCATTCTATGTAACTGCAAAATTATGCAATAGGCTTGTAAAGTACATAATGCATGATTTTATTCTTAATTCATTGATTTGAAAATGAATCACATTTTGCTTTAAAATAAGCAATTTCAGGGCTTGCAAAGTAGCACTTGGCACTAAGCTTGACCTGGCTTTGGTTCTGAGAACCCATGTAATAGAAGGGGAAAAAATGACTCCCACCAATTGCCCTCTGACCTCCACGTGAACACTCTGCATGCCACACATGCACAAAATAAATGAGTAAATGAAATGTTAAAGCAAATACCTTAAAACAAACTTATGATTGTTTGAATAGCGTGGTAAGGGCTCTTAATGTTTGTATATTTGTACTTCAGTTTTCAAAGTTGAAGTATAGGAGAAAAACTGCCCACTTGTTACTTTAATATCAAGAGAGATGTCAGCAATGACAATATACATTTGTGAATTGTTTGGTCTTTGTAAAATACTGAGAAAGGCAAAGAGGTGGTGTTTTGTTTTTAAATTTTGATATATAGTTTCCATTCTTAGCCCAGACATATCTGGACCAGAAACTCCTTCTAAGTGGCAAAAAGGATTACATATACATTCTTATTTGTCTAAATTTTTTCAAGATTGTGTAAAATTCTATAATTGCAATTGTTAAGTTTTTATGTTTTCTTTCAGTTGTTTATTCAAGAATTTTATCTTTTAAAAATATTTTCCTTTTATTAAAAATAGTTTTTTTCAGACAACAAAAAAGTAACCCTTCTATATACAGTTGAAAAGAGAAACAACAGTTGTCAAAAGTTGAACATCAGGTATTCATACCAAATAAGCTAAACGTTTAGAAGCACCCCCTATTAACAAGAAATTGTATAGAATAAAGAGGACTTACAATACATTTTGAAGGAAGGGTGGGTGAGAACGACAGAAAGCATCTCACAATACAATGCTAACCTGCATACTCTATTCTATTTTCACTACTCTGTTTTTATCCATCTGTAACTTCATACCCAATAGCTGCAGTTCTTGTGAAAGTTAATGAAAGCAGGAATACAAAGAAGAAAATCATATTAGAAATTAACCTGGCCTTTGATATCAACCTGTAATTGTCAAAGAATTATCCCATTTTTATTCAATTCAAGAGTCCTCACTGAAACCTGGATTATTTTAATCATAAAACATGGGGTGCAGGGCTGGGGATATAGATCTATGGAAGAGAGCTTACCTGACACTCACCAGGCACTGGGTCTCATCCAGAGCATTGCATTCCTTGGTAAAGATATCATGAGTTTATAGTGGTTACTTTTACAAAAACAAATGGCCCATTTCCCATGAAACTGCTTGGGAGCTGTGTAGTTTGTTGAATGAAGTTGAATATTGATAGCATAAGCCTATTTTCTTCCTGTAGCTTGTGTGAGTACTTCTATGTATGTATGTATGTATGTATGTATGTATGTATGTATGTATGTGTATGTATGTCGTGAATCTAGAGAGCTAGACTTACAACCATCCAACCCCAGTACTTTCCTGTCTTCAACCCCTACTATATGGGAATTAAAAGCATGCATGGATGCATTTTGCAATGGATGCTGGGAATTCAAATCCAGGTCCTCTTGTGTTTACAGCAAGCATTCTTACCCACTGTGTCATCTCCTTAGCTCACGTCCTTTATTAATACGATGAATCTGTTCTTGATGGGAAAATTGAAAATAACTCTTAAACACCTCTGTAGACACTCGACAATATTCAATGATCAATAGTCTTCTCTAGATTGTCACCTTACATGAACATCCTTCTGTAAAAGGATTCATTCACCTCTGGATTCCTATAGTGTTGTTTCAGGCTCCCCCTGATATATGTTTGCATTTTTGTTTTACTACAGGAGTTCATTGAAAGCTGGACATCTTCTCACCATGTTAATTCATTTTGGATAGGCCTTTCCCGCAATCAGAGTGAAGGGCCATGGTTCTGGGAGGATGGATCAGTATTCACCCCCAACGCGTAAGTTCCTGTAGAGACATGAAGAGGTAGAATCCTGCCATGCAGTTAAAACCTGCTTCTCTGGTTACATATGATTAAGAGGAGGTGGTGGAGGGAAAGGCGAAAGAGACACAGGAATGAAGAGAAAAGCTCTGAGGGAGGCTGGAGAGGATGCTCACATGGTGCTGACTAAAGGATTCCTGTGACATCTGGTCCAGTAAGGCAAGGTGCTGCTGTTTACTGCAGCCTTGGACTTCAAGTCCGTACCTCAGTCTGAGGTAACGATTAACCTACTCAATGGACATGAGACATTAGACAAATCTCTGTACTTCTTTTAAAGCTCTGTTCTTTATCCAAAACTGAGAAGAGAAAAAGTGACTATCCCTCAGAATGGTAAAATAAACAAAATAAAGGTAAAACCATTAGTATAGTGTTTTACACGGAGTCAGTGAAAAATGACATATCATATGTCATTATTTCAACTGTATCTTATATTTGTGAGACTACAATTTCTTCCTCATTATGTACTGAAGTCTTTGAAATTTCTATTTATGTGATCATTAATATTTGTAATTATGAAAATTTATCCCCATTTCAATGTATATGAATGCATGCATGTACATATCTTCCCCCATTAATCCTTATATATATAACTGAAATATATATTTAATAATATATTTATTATATTATCATATTATTATTAATATATTAATACATATGTTATTAAATACATAAAATATATTTCAATTTAATTAAATCTTTAAATTTTGCTAATGTTTTCTTTTCTCTTTTATCACTTCTTTGTCTAGTGTTGATTCACATATATAAATATGTATGTATACTATTCCCTTGCCTTTCATCTAACGTCTCTGTGTCAAACTGAATTCTTTCTCTAAATTCTTATGTTGAATGCTTAACTCATCATCTCCAGTTTTCTTTTGCTTTGGGGTCATTCGATTCACATGCTTTCTGATTTCCACTGTGAGTTGTTCTTTAATCCATGACATAGAAATAAATTTCTCAGTTTTCACACATACCCATGCTTCTCACATTCCCACTTATCCTTTGTATTGATTTTTGTTTTGATTTTTTGTTTATTTCTCATAATTCTTCCAGTTTTCTGTTTTGTTTGGCTTTGTTTTTGTCATTTGTGGCTCATTTTGCTTACAGTATTCCCAATACTATCTATTAACTCCTAGAGTCCACTCAGGAGAGTTGTCTTAAAGTTTGTACCGTCTAACTCTGTGTGCATTCTGTTTTTCTCCTGTGCATCATTCAAGTTGGTTTGTTTTCTTAAATACCTAATTGTGTTTGACAGCTGCTTATCAACATTGCATCGTGAACTGTTTAGGGCTTGTTGTATCAGCCTGACGTTTGTAGAGTAGCATCTCATTTACTTCCTGCGGATACTGGTAGCAAGGAGAAGCCCATTTCCCCACCTTCACCCAGTGTTACATCAGCAGTGCTCGGCTACCCTCTCCTCTACCAATTCAATCCAAATACATTCATTAAAAATCCACAGAACATGCTTCTTCCTCTTCTGCAGCATTTTTTCACCTTGATTTGTCTTCCCATTGTAACCATGCAATTAGATGATTCTTTGTAAATTCACAAAATGAGCTTAATACTTTAAAATGTTACTATTCTTGTGTTCCAGGGTGGCAGTAACTTAATATTTGCCCACAAACTACTCGAATGTCAGGGAAATTTTCAGAAATTACTGGTCAAGGCAGTTTATCTTACCCCTGTCATTTCAAGTGCAGATTTTCTTACTCTACCAACCACAGAGTCAAGAAGAGGCAGCCATTCAAGGTAGTGTTCAGTAGGTAGTGACTTTTGCACTAAGATCCAATGATATTTCTTGAGTGTGACTAATTGGCATGGCTCTTTATTTCACACAACTATTAATACCAATATTTCTTAGGGAAAAAGTCATTTTCTTACCTTAATTATAAAGACAAGTCTATTACCATTGAAGATTAATAAAATCTAAATTAAAGATTCCTTTTTAAATCATTTAGATGTCACAAAACTATTTTTACCAATTCTCTTAAACTTTCTAGCTCCGTGGGTCTCTGGGTCTCTGTTTTAATTGCCTCATTGTATTTCCTTTAACAGGTTTGAAATTAGAAATACAGCTCCCCAGGAAAGCTCACTGCATAATTGTGTATGGATTCACGGGTCAGAGGTCTACAACCAAATCTGTAATACATCCTCATTCAGTATCTGTGAGAAGGAACTGTAAAGGCAAGGCATGTGAGAATATAAAAATGGTGTGCACGTGTGTGCACACCCTCCTATCACCACCACCATCACCACCACCACCACCACCACCAACAACAACAACAACAACAACAACAACAACAAAACAGAACAGGAAAGATTGGTATTGAAAATCAAAGAAAATGCTGAAGAGACTTTAACCTCAGCTGAAAACTTGGATTGAAGAATCTGAGACTTCTGTACTTGTCAACTTCATAAAGAAGGCAGTGCTATCTTGCAGTTAGGAAACCATTAGACATGGAGTGAAGGCAGCTCAGAAATACAGAGAATATGTAAATGTGAGGTATCCTAACCCAAATGCCACAACCACAGCAAACCATCAGGGACACTGAAAAGAAGGACTGTGAAAGCCAGAGGACTACTGCCAGTGTCTTCTACACAGGACAGGGAGAGTGTATCCAGGAAATGACAATACAACTCAGCAAACAATGCCTGCAAAATGACAATCTCAGATGGTATGCAAATATGGATGTAGGAATTTCACAAGGTCCTATTCCCCACATGAAGAACTATGGGCAATCAAAGAGTGGGGAAGACCTTTCTCCAGGAAATAACCTCCTGGTGGGTTACTGAACCCCAAGAAGTCAGCACCAAACATGTACAGACCAGTGTCATTAAATGAAATATAGATAGATAGATAGATAGATAGATAGATAGATAGATAGAGATCTATATATCTCAAAAATTGTTACTAGGGTATAGGCTGTGCTTGTATGACTTGCTCAGTATCCAGCAGTACATCAGACCCAGTGAGAAGGCAAAATGCACTTCTAAATTTAGAAGTGAAGAAATGACAGAAGAAAATCTTCAGTAAAAATAGAGCTACTATTTTCATCCACATGATCACTACTAAAATGATCATCACCCAAAAGTAACGACACAAGCTTCTTCCTCAACTAGATAACCCAGCGAGTCTGTCTACCTTTTCTGGTAGCAAAATCTGGTATGACAAAGATGCTGCCCTTACAGGAAGCATTCTCCTTAAATATTATAGTTAGAAAGACAAGTCATATCTGATAGAGAGTATTAAAATAGCATCCAGTCAGAATTAGTGTTTTGGAGTACAGAACACATTTCATCTTTTTTTTTGTGTATAAATACATGTATCACATGCATTTAATTACACTATAACTTTTTTTAATCAAATCGTAATTTTTACTTATTCACACAGGGGTTATAAACACAAAAAGGCAGGATATGGGGAAGGGGATGACACTGGATTGTGGGTGTTCAGGGGAGGGGGAGTACAGATATCTTTCAGAACAGGGTATCGGCTGGGTGAAGGTTCAGGGGACAGGTCACTATGACTCTGCCTATGATTCACTTGTCCTTATCTAAGTTGGTATTATCTGCCAAGGCTACCTATTTACAAGGTCTATGACTACTCAGGCTCATAAATTTCCACAAAAGCTGCCTGTTTACAGTAGCTTATAGCCATCTCTTTCAATGTTTTCCCATAGAGACCCAAGACTTGGTGTTAGTGTACATGTATGACAGGCGTATTGCTGATTTTAGGCCTATGGCAGATTTTAGGCCTTCAGTGTATAAGCAGGGCTGCCCCTGACATCTCCTCCCTTCTCTAAGTATAGAAGGGCTGTGGCGATTCTAATCTTGCAAAGGCGGGAATAGAGGATTGACCTCCAGTAATCGACAGGCCATTGACAAGAATGTCAAACAGCTAGAGATTGACATCACTAATGTGAAGAAGTCCCTCGTTTCACTGTCTGAAGAGACCTCCAAAAATTGCAAAGGACTTTATTGGACTTGATTTACTCTTTTACAATAGAAAAGACTGTGTTCAGTTCTTGACTGTGTACAGGTCTTAAAGAAGAATGTTGCTTTTACACAGACAAGACAGGGATGGTTAAAGAGAGCATGAAAAAGGTCAGAGAAGGCCCAGAGAAAAGACAGATAAAGAGAAAGATAAGAGCTGGTACAAGAATTGTTAAACCTATTTCCATGGTTGTCAAACCTATTTCCTCCCATCTTGGGACCATTAATTGGGTTATTTTTGCTTACTTCTTTTGGTCCCTGGACCTTAAATGGGCTGACTAACTTTGTGAAACAACAGATAAATAATTTGGTAGCGAATCCTATTCAGATACATTATCATAAGTTTGCTATGGTTGTCAAACCTATTTCCTCCCATCTTGGGACCATTAATTGGGTTATTTTTGCTTACTTCTTTTGGTCCCTGGGCCTTAAATGGGCTGACTAACTTTGTGAAACAACAGATAAATAATTTGGTAGCAAATCCTATTCAGATACATTATCATAAGTTTGCTATGGAGGACCACGAGACTCAAGATGAGATTGTTACTCTCTCTAGGGTGTTCCCAAAACCCATCTCCACCCAACCTAAAAGAAGGGACTTCTGCCCCTAGACCAAGCAGAGAGGGGCCACCCAGAACCCCCTTTGACTGGTGATCTGAATTCTTACTTAGGCTGCGAGGCTAACTACTGCAAGGGAATATAAATAGTAGTTAAAAATATCTCTCTGGGTTCCCTGAGGGACAAGCCTGAATGCATAGGGGTTGATGTCAAAAGTATCTCCTCTCCAGGAAAAAGACATCAGAATGAGTATGGCCCTCATGCCTCACTGGACAATGACAGGGGGACCGGAGCGATATTTCAACTTTTTATGACGTACTATTTTGCAGTTAACAAATTCTTTAGTCATTTCTTTACAAACATATGACTGGAGTGTGACTCTGTTTCCTAGTATGATCTGTCTTGTTAACTTCCAAGATTGTCCATTATTTCCAGTGCAGATTTCCCAATTGCTGAGGGTCTGTTTGTAGTTTCCTCAGACTGATCAATATGTAGGCAGAAATTGTGCTGAGTCCACTGAATTTTTCACTTGAAAATGATTGGTTTTATGTCACTTTCCTCTCAATTGGAAAACTGCTTACTAAAGTATCTCTGGCCTCTGAGTAACCTGCCCATATGTAACAATCACTAATCTAATTTGCCTTCTCCCAAAAAAGGTTGGTGACTTTGATACTAAGTAGGGAATATGTATGCTAGATAGTTTTTCACTGAAGCATAAACTTGGGTTCTTAAAGATTTTGAAATGTCTCTGAGAAAAATATACATTTTTGTGAAGTTTGCCCTCATCTTTTAATATTTCAATTTCAATTGTCAACATCTGAAAAAACTATAGGGGAGACAGTGATCAGTATGAGAGAAGCATGATTAACTACAGCACAGGGTGGGATTTCAAAAGACATGAGTGTTGTATATGTGCATGCATGAGCTCATGTGCATATGTGTGTGTGTGTGTGCTCACTTACCTGGGCACATCTGGAAACCAGAGGTCAACATCCAATGTCATTCACTATCACTTGCCATCACCTTCTTTGTTGAAACTGGGTCTTCCGCTGAAGTAGATGCACTGTTTCCTTTTGTCTGGCCAGCTGTCCCATATCCACCTGTCTCTCTCATTCAATCAACCCTGGGAGATGTAGGACACTGTAAATAGCTTCCAAGTGAATATGATAATCCCACATTGGATTCTCTTCATCCTTACACAGTAGCTACTGAGCCACCTCCTGAGCCTAAGATGGAAATATTTTAATTTTAGTTCTAGTTTGATTGACTTTCTTTATTCCCAGAATTGAACAGATAAGTTCAAGAAACTATCATCATCAAAGAAAACAAATTAATCTAGATGCTGAATCAAGGTTTCCTTCCAAGAACAAGCAGCTGAGAAATCACCCTGTGTGTACATTAAGGAGCAAGTAGAACCAGATTGATGTGAGGAGTGGTCCCAGGTGTTCTATTGCCTGTCACGCTGACAACTTACATGGAGATGTACATGTAATCAGAAGCATACATTTGTCCAAGACACTGAGAGGGGATACCAGCTGCTGATCTCAAGTCTGAAGTATAAATTGCAGATGGTTACATTTGAGGAAACACCTGCTGAAGGGCTTCTGTATTCGGTTGACTTGGGCACAGCACTAATTTTGGAAGTTGCCCCTAATCTTTATCTCTGTCTCTCTACAATGTGTTTCAGACTTAGCTCTGTTAAATTCAAATACAATCATGTCAAGTCTCTACTAAAAGGTCTCATTGACTTCTTAACATGTTTCAGAGTAAAAACAAAACATAATAACAAAAGAGCACTTATAATTGTCTTTAAGACCCCATGTGTTCTAAGTCCCTTTATTCCTTTAGGTGTCACTGGCCACTCTACTTCTCCAGCCCATCTGTATGTTTCCAATTCAATGTCTTTGTGATTTCCCTCTTAAAATGAGCCTGTCAGAGATGGCTGCAGAACCTCTGTTTATTTTTTTAATTTTATTTAATCTTTTATTTTTACACTCCACATTTTATCCCCCTCCTGGTATACCCTCTGACTATTTCATATCCCATACCTCCTCCCCCCACCCCCCACCCTCCACCCCCATCTCCATGAAGGTGGGCCCGGGCGGGCACCCCCTACCGCACCAGACCTCCCCACTCCCTGGAGCCTCCATTCTCTTGAGGGTTAGGTGCACCTTCTCTGACTGAACCCAGATCCAGCAGTCCTCTGCTGTATATATGTTGGGGGCCTCATATCAGCTGGTGTATGCTGCCTGGTTGGTTGTTCAGTGTCTGAGAGATCTCTGTCCAGGTTAATTGAGACTGCTGGTCCTCCTACAGGGTCGCCCTCCTTTTCAGCTTCTTCCAGCTTTTTCCTAATTCAACCACAGCAGCTTCTGTCCATTGGTTGGGTATAAATCTCTGCATCTGATTCTTTCAGCTGCTTGTTGGGTCTTTCGGAGGGCAGTCATGATAGGCCCCTTTTTGTGAGCAATCAATAGCCTCAGTAATAGTGTCAGGCCTTAGGCCTCCCCTTGAGCTGGATCCACTTTGGGCCTGTCACTGGACCTCCTTTTCCTCGGGTTCTTCTCCATTTTTGTCCCTGCAGTTCTTTCAGACAAGAACAATTATGTGTCAGAGTTTTTGGCTGTGGGATGGCAACCCCATCCCTCTCTTGATGCCCTGTCTTTCTGCTGGAGGTGGGCTCTGTCTTACTTACCAAATCTGCATACATATCACCTCTTAAGTGAATGAGGAGTTCTCTGGGTACTCTATTTCAAATCACCAGCTTTCTTCCATCACTTTCCTTGAGCTTCTTGGTCCTTTATATATTTGCTTCAACATTTAAAGTAGTCAAATTTTCTCAGGATATAGGGTATAAGAGAGCCAGGGACTTTGTGTCCAAAGCATATCCCTAGATCATAGCTTTCTTAAAAAATATATATATATTTCACTGTTGTTGAAATAAATGGCTAAGGTACGCAGTACAGATGTCAATATATGTGATCAAAAAATTAGTGATGATCTACTTGAATAACAGAAGCTGGGCAAACACTTCTGGTTACTGTTTTATTGTTTTGTGATAAACTTAGAATCCCCTCTATTTTCCTACCCTATTTGTAATTTCTCTCCTCCTCTCACACACTCCTCACACTTCCCCCTTCTTTCCTCCTCCTCCTCCTCTTCCTCCTCTTCCTCCTCCTCCTCCTTCTTCCTCTCCTCCTCTTCCTCTTTCTACTCCTCTTCTTCCTCCTCCTCTTCCTATTCCTCCTCCTCCTCTATTTATCTCTCTTCCTTTCCCTCTCTCTTTCTATCTTCCTTTCTCTCTCTCTCCCTCTCACTCTCTTTCTCTCCCTTTCTATCTTCCTTCCATCCTTCCTTCCTTTTTCACAGAGGACATTTACATAGTCCAGGCTGACTTTCAACTTGAGATCCATCCGCTCAGCCCTGTGAATGCTGGGGTTACAAATGTGTACTACCACAGCTACTCTGTAATTCTTAATGTTCTATGTTCTTAGTATGCCATGACACTCTGTGCTTCACATACCTTGACTTTAAAAATTTTTACTATCTCCTTCCCTCTACAGCATTCTAATACCCAACCCAATGCAAACAGAAGTATCTTCATCTTCAACTTTTCAACAAGTCATTATTCAGTGATTGGTTTCCATTATTCCTCATCTTAAAATTGTAATAATTGGATGAACAACTTTCAGCTTGAAACAATGACAAATTTGCAATCTGTGGTTTCTGGTGGTCTTTTATGGACTCTGGCTGCTCTAACTGTGTTTGTACTCTAGCTGGTATTTAGTGTACTTGTTTTAATCAGGCATTACCCATGTAGAACAAATTTGGTAGTGTGATGAGAGTACAATCACTCATAAATATATGTGCCTGTTTGTGTGTGTGTGTGTGTGTATGTGTGTGTTGTGTAAACTAGAAATGTATGCACACAGATAGATGATAGATAGATAGATAGATAGATAGACAGATACATAGATGGATAGATAGATTATTGATAGATGATTGATAGATTATAGATAGATAGATAGATAGATAGATAGATAGATAGATAGATAGGTGATAGATATTTACTGGCCTGACAGCACACCTTCCACTGTATGATGGTACAGTATCTCTCTTAGAGGAAACACTCCTCTCCTCACCAATGAATTTGTTAACACTTTGATCTTGAGTCAGAATTATGAGAAATATTTTTTATTATGTATGAATAATCTTGTCTCAGGTATTCAGCTGTTGCAACACACACAGGCACACACAAACATGACAAATAATAGAATTATACTGTGCCGGTTCCAGAGTAAGGCTGGACATAGACTGAGACAATTTTCTCATTTCTTATCTTAACAACTGTAAGAATACACAGCTAGCTGTCTTCCCAAAGTTGCACAGTGGTTAGGAACAATGCTGTAAGTAGGGCCTGCCAATAGAGCTTGGGATTGCTTGTGATCACAGTGTGCCTGGTGCGTTATAAAATGTTACACCAAGTCCGGAGGCTGTGACAAGAAAAGGTACGAAGTTGACAACAGGGGTGAACTTTCAGAGCTAACCAGTCCCTGGCCAGCTATGTGACCTCCAAAGAAATCACTTCACCTAGATAGCTTTCACTTTCTTTTTGAGTAAAATCAAACGATCAAATCGATTGGGTGCTTTCAGGGTGGGGGGCAATGTGGGGAGGCCCAGTGAATGATGCGTTGCCTTTGGAGACACGAAGAGTCTTCCCTCTTTCCCCAAAGGTACAGGTGAGTAATGCATACTGGGTAAAAAATTTTTAAAAAATTTAAAAAAGAAAGAAAGAAAAAAAAACAGAAAAAGAAAGCAGTCTAGTTCTGATTATGTTTTAGAGTCAGAGGACCTTCAGTGCTGCTGGGAGGGATCACCATCCCTACTTTGCAATTCTGAAAGATTTGTAAACAGATACACATAGGATCTGGAAAAGGGAGATATTTTAATAACTGTTCACGAACCGCCCAACCAGAAAACACATGCGATTTCCCCTCAGCCAGACTAACTTGGCATTCTGAATACAGGCTCAGAGGGGAGGGGCCGGACCTCTCCATGCAGGAACTGGAGTCAGAGGCTTCCCTTGCTGCCTGCAGGGAGAGACTATTAAGAATGCCTCTCAGTGCCTGGTTTCCTGAGGTATCTGAGGGTAGCCAGACAGCCTCGAGCAATCTGAGCACATCTGACCGGCATCTCTGCAGGAATCAGGATGCAGGCCAAATACAGCAGCACAAGAGACATGCTCGATGACGATGACACCACCATAAGCCTGTATTCTGGAACCTCCACTGTCACCAGACGTGCAGAGCCCAGGCACTCAGGTACTTACTTCTGTCTCCTGGAATCCAAGCAGATCAGAGCTCTGGAGAAATTCGTGAGATGAGGCACTTCTTCTAGGCATATGCAAGGCAGAGGGAAGGGAGGGAATCTTCCCATGGCTTTCAGTGAGGAGTAACTGCACTTTCCACAACTTGTCTACACGCAGGTAACATTTGCAAAATGGAACCAGCATACTCACAGGGGTCTGATTCTCTAACACTGTATCGCTGGCTTAGCAGTTTGCAAGGAGGGAATGTGAGCTTTCCAATTAGGTATAGCAGGGAGAGAAGAGATGGTATGCACCTTAAAGCAACATTGTTTCCTTTTCCTTTCTCAGGGAGGCCAGACCAGGCCAGCTTATTGTTGTCCATGTGGACTGTCACCTGTGATGGGATTTGGAAATTTAGGGTAATGTTAATGACCATTTCATTTTGGTTCGTTTTGAACTCTTAACTTTAAGGCCGAGATTTCCAAGGAGGCAAATTGATTCAGGTATTTGTTAGAATCTCTGCATCTTGAATCTGCAAGATCTTAGAGGAGCCATGTCAGAGTCAGGTATTGGTTTTACCCTCTGTTATATCAAAGACATCAAAAGTAAGTCCTAGCGTTTCCCCTTACCTGTGAAATTCTGTGATTTGGGGCTGAGGTTGAGCCTGCGGTTTTCCTCTGGTAGGTAAAAGCATAAAAACTGAGCTACTGTAGACTTGGTTTAATTCAGTAGGAGACAGTAATTCACTAAGTTGCCCACTGGCTTCAAACCTGCAATCTTCCTATTTCTGTTTCCTCAGTAGTGGGATTATGAGCAGGCACCAAGATATTCTGTCCCCCTTTGCTGTGTTGATTTAAAAATATTGAAATGATTGAGTCATACTTAGAAGATATTTATTTTAGCTTATATCTTACTATGTTCGTTACTGTTATTTATCTTACTATAGGGTAGAATTTTTCAGTTCTACTCATTTTCATAATCCACACACAGAGAGAGGCTTATCTGGTTGGTCTACAGCAGACACTTGACTTGGATCTAGAGCAAAGAACCCACTCGCTAGAGCAGATAGCATGCTGTATGTTCAAGTTCTGATACCAAGTGGGCCACGTACCACTTCATGACCTTAGTGTCCTGGGATTCAGTGCCATTGCTTATTAAACATTAATGATGGGAGGTGTGCAATAGTGCACATGTGGTGCCTGGCATCGTTTTAAGAGCTGGATGCCCGTTTGTTCATATTAACTTCAGCTAACAGTAAACAGAAGTAACAAAACCCCTTTTCTTTCATAAAGCTGTTCCATACACTTTCTTTTTATCAATGATTGTCCATCTGAGGCTTACTGATATGGTTTCTGGTTTTCCCACTAAACTACCCAGAGAGCTGTTTAAAGGATATTGGGGATTTCCAGCTTCCTTCACCTGGAGCTCAGTGGTTGCAGGAAGAAGGATAGATGGGGCAGGAAGTGAGTAAAACAGTTGGAAAGGCCTTTCTCTCGCAAACTCATGAACAATCAGCTCCCAGAACCTGAGTTCCAAGACGACAGAGTACGATTTCGGTTTTTTTGCCTTTGCCTAGAGAAGGGCCAATGATCTGCATAAGCAGGAACAGTGTGTACAAACAAGTACCTCGAGTTCAAAGGGTGGAGACAGAGGTGGGGCAAGATGAAACACTTGGTACAACTCTTGGCAGCCTCCTTGTAAGAAATGGAAATTGGAACACTGGGAGGGAAGGTTACAAGGAAGTGACTCAGAGGCTAACATCTGGAAAAGGTTTCCTCAGGCTCCCTGTGCGATATCTTGGTTTCTTCTTGTGATACGCAAACATTTAGAGGAATGTCATAAAATTTTTTCATAAGAAAACATTTTTTACAACACCTCTGCTGTAGAAATAGCAGTAAAAAAATCAGAATTTGGGGCAATTTCAGATTGAATATGAGGCTATGACAAAATACAAGTGGGCATTTTTTAAACTGATTCTTTCAAACTGTTAGAAATACAGAGGTGGTTTTGAGATTTTAATAGTATCCATATAACAATTGCACTTATATAAAAATACAAAACAGTTATGAAGACAGAAAATCAAAACTAAAAGACATAACTATATCCAATTTCCACAAATTCAGATCAAGTATACCAAGGACTAGGCATTCAGTGTCAAACATGGCGTACCATCTGCTATGAGCTATGAGGGAAACAGGTTCCCAATTCAGTTTTATATATAATAATATACTAACTCAGAGCACCTACAAGCACATGAAAACCTGGCCATCTGTGTCTAGGGGGATAAAGGAGACCCAAAAATACCTGGAGAGAGTGGCCATTGCGTTGAGTTGATTTTAGGATTCCCTGTATTATAAAGGAACCGGGAGTGGGAGTGTCCAGGGCTGGGGATGCTCTACAGAGAGAGACTTATGAGAGGAAAGTGAAGGGGACTGTAAGGAACTCTGTGCTTTTAGAGAACTCTTTGCAGTAAGTATGACTGAGGCACAGAGCTGAGGGCCGACTATGTTTGAGGAGAAGATCTGGAGAGCTAAGGAGGGTCTTTTAGGCTTCCTGAAGTGTTTTAGATCTGTTCTAAATGAGACTAATGAAGAAGAGAAAGATACAGGGAGACGAATGATATGTGCCTGAAGTATCTCTAGGCTATGCTAATGAAGGAGAATCCACAGACCTGGGTGAGTCAACATCCTGCTTTATCTCTAGTCCAGGTACTTCCTCAACTGAGGAAGAAGAGTAAGAAGGAAGAAGAGAGAGTAATAGATATTGAGGTGAAGGAGTTTCAAAGATTGCTTCAGGTTATCAGTGAGGAGACAGGCTATGTGAGTCCAAGGTTTACTGAGTACTCAGACATGCTGTAGGTACTGCTGTCGGGTGGTATATAAAAGGTCACGACCTGCAGTAGGAACCACAGGAAGACTCATAGGGTGACAAATTCAGCATGAGTCCAAGGGTCTGGAAGGTGAGATGCATTTGGAGCTGTCTAAAGACACATATATTTGAAGAATCTGAGTTCAAAGTTAGAATTTTGGGCTAAATATAGACATAGTAAGGTAAGAATTTTGGGCTGGATAAATATGCAGTAATCATATATGAATACAAAATAAATGAATAAATCATTTAAATAGTATGAATAGAAATTAAAATTTACATGAATGAATAAGATAACTGAGGGAGGATATATAAAACCAGAAACCTACAAAACAAAATTGACTGACAAGGAGACAATCCGGGGGATATCAGTCACAGCCTAAAGGACAGAGGACATGAAGATCCAATCAGAGACTGTTAGAAAGGAGCAGAGAGAGCAGAGAGAGCAGAAGTAGGACTCGGGACTCGGGTAGAAAGAAGCATCTGGAACACTGGCGGAGTAAACTCGAAATAGTGGGAGACACAATGCAAGGCAAGAGTGGAATGTTAAAAATAATACACTGCAGAACATTTAAGAGGCGACTAAACACAGCTCATTATTTCAACAATAACAAGAAAAATAGAACTTTATTTGTCATCATAATCATCATGCTTTATGGCTGAGACTCCCTGCATAGTTCAGAATGCTCCTCAGCCCAAAACTCTTCTGATCTCAGTCTCCCAAGAGTCAGGGTCACTGCTGTGTACCAGCACCCCAGGTCAAGCTATGGATTACTTTACAGCAATGTCTCAAAAAGGGGCTGATGATGAAGTGAAACTATTTATGACTTTTATCATCTCATTTCTTCATCTTCTTTGTAAAAAACACACTCTGTTGTTGCTGAGATGCTACAAGATTAAGTGAGGATATTTTAAATCTAATTGTTTTTTTTTTTAAGATGGGAGAGAGTTTAACCACACTGTAAATTAAAAAGAAGCCCAGGATGTCCAGCTCACCCAAACAACATCAGGAATTGGGCAATGATGTTGCAGAAGAAACAAGATTCCTGCTGCAGTGGAAATGCTATCCTACCAAAAGGATAAAAAAAACAACACTGTCATTAGTAATAATTTGAAAAACGTATTTAAAAGTCAATTCAATTTCTGCTATGTCCTACTCCTGTTAGTGTGATGTTGTTGCATTTTACTCTCTGCTTTTTAGTTTCATTTCTACACATCTGTCATTGCAGCAATAAGGCACAAGTCACATTCCTATGATTTCATAAATCTTTCAGGCATACCCAATAAATATTAAACACCATCACGGGCACTGAGGAGATACAGTTTTTTTTTTGAGGCATTAGCAAGCACAGAAAAATCTAAATCAACAGTTAGCTTTGTACATCCCAAAAGAAAGTGTCAATTGTCACAGGTCTTCAAGGCTCAGCCTGGATTTGCCAGAAAAGCAAGCTCGAGCACTGGCTCACTCTTCCACTCTGTGGATGACAGTGTGGAGAGGACATCAGAAAAGAAGAATTAGCCTGGTGCACAATGTCAGAGATAGAATGTATCACGAGGCAAATTAAGTCAAAAAAGAGCTTAGAGTGGGGAAATGAGATGGTGACTCGGATTAGGATTTAGATCACTGTAAATTGGCTTTGAGAATCACAACAGAACCTGTCATGAAGCGTCACGGGGGACTATGCAGCTGAAGATGAGAAGTCTTCATAGGAAGAAATGGAATGTACAAAGTACAGAGCTACGCATGATGAATGCACCCTGGCTCTGTCACAGTATCTAGCATGGCCTTGCACAAATTGCTGATGTTAAACTCTGTTTCTGTTCTAGCTTCTAAGACACCATACCTTCCAGGGCTATCTTCACAGCCCTTAGTTAATGATGTCTGTTTTATTTCTCATGTGCTCTTGGTTTGGGGGAGTGTAGAGTTTTCCTCTGCTGACTGATGAAGAATAACTAATCAAGTATGACAATACTCTTTATCCGCCAAGTTTCCTGCAACAACAAAAGGGTTTGTATTCAAAACTTGACTTTGGCACTCTAGCATTTTATAGCATAGCAGTATTTAGAGGACACAGGAAGATGGTGTTCTCTTCTATATATATCTCAGAATTCCTGGAGATGTTTATATCATTCTTTAGTCTATCT